GAAATTTGAAGGCGATGGATATTATGGCGCCAAGAAATCCACCCAATTGTCCAGGTAAGCTCTTACTATGCAACTTTGGTGGAATTGGCTCTAGTCCGCCAAGAGTGTGGCGCCCAAATTGAAGGCACCGTTCCAGGAAGAGTGGCACACAAATTGAGGGCGCCATTCCAGGATCCCTGGCGCTCATGGACGCCGTGCCAGCACCCCTGGCGCTCATGCCATTTTACCTAGACTAACCAACACTACAGCCCCCCTCACCACCACTCAAGTCCAATTAAAGCTGATGGACCAGGAGCGCCTTTCGATGGGCAGTACAGGTCAAACATCTTGGATTGCAACAGGACTCAAAATTGAGGAGACACAGTAAGACCCTGACAGAGCCAATGCATACGAGGAATGGCTTACATTAAAACAGGATTGAACTAAGGTTTCTCATTCGGCGTACTGGAAAAAAACCAACTATGCTGCAGAAAGTTGACATTGCTAAGAGGAGGGAAAGGTTAAGAGTGAGAATCGATGCTTTCAACAAGACGGGAATGACCTTTTTAGCATGGAACCCGGCATTAAATGAAAATCAGCTGTTGCTTCGTGAAGAGTTTGATATGGACGATGTTCTGCAGATGGACGATGATCTGGCCGAGTCAAATTTCAGTGGCAGCGCGCCTGATATCATGGTGGTCGCTGCCACAAAGGTTGCACAAGCCCAGGCAGCGGCGCTTGCTGCGGCTGAAGCTGTTGAACATGTGAAACTAGCCTTGCTGTCAGCCATGGGAGAAGAGCACCTTCAGGCTCATGGATTACAACATTTTTTGTCCAAAAAATATCAGTTGCGCCAAGGGCAAGCGAACGATGCTCTTCAAGGCATCCGAGTGTCACTGGCGAATTTGTCTTTTGAATATGGAAGAAAGCTTCGAAAAATCAAAAAAAGTAAAGTCAAGAAAACAAGGGCATGGGCGACGGTGCACGCTGTTGGGCGAACGCTTCATCATCATCGCCAGATTTACTTCTATGCCATCGATGCCATTTCAAGATTGGGCGACCCAGAGAAGAAGATAGGGCGCCAGTATAAACCGCTCTTGAAGGAGGACATGAAGGCAAATACTGCGGTAGCAGACCCGAATGCGCGAGGGCAAAGTAGGGCAAAGCCAGCCTGGTTTTGGAGTTCCAACTTGGCAGGCAATATGCAGGACAACGAACGGATGGTAGAGTGTAAAGCATCCCTATACCCTCCTCAGTAGTAGATTATTGATTACCTTTCTAGTTCATCGCATCAATTGGCTTCGGGCCAGGGCCAGGTTTCACAGATGGAGAGAAGAATTCAACCTGTTGTCACATGAGATGGAATGGGTGACGAGATACTTTTTGTATCAGGGAACAAGTGGAGTGCATGGCAAAAAATGGCAGCAGACCAAGCAAAACCTGGGCATGTTTGCTATGCTGAACGCCAGAAGGATCTGTGGAATATGCTTGCCATCGATGCGGATAACAGGTTTCAATTGTCCAACCATTATTACAAGCCACTTGTCATGTAATTCATACACAAGCAACCAGGTGCAACGTCCTGTCCTGGGTGGGCACAACGTAATGCGTGGGCAAAATGCGCTGTGTGGGCGCGGTGTACTGTGTGATCGCAACGTACTGCGTGGCGCAGCATTATGTGCAATGTCTTGTGTGGGCGCCGTGTACTGTGTGAGCGCAACACTGTGGCGCAACATACTCCGCAGGCGCGACGTACTGGGGCGCAACATATTGCGGGATGGCAATGTAGTAGCTGTGGGCCATCACGTGTCCAAACCACATGACCAGCTTGTTCATTTTTGTGTGCCAATCTCAACTTGAATCATGGACACTGCAATGGAATGGCGCGTCTACCACTTCTTCTCCTGATGCAAGGCGGCATGGAGTGCATACTCCGATGACAAAGTGAACTGGATTGATGACAAGGAGAGGCAAGAGTGGTGGAAATTGAGGATTCAGCATGAAACTGTTCGTCCTCATGGTGTTCACTGTTCATCTATCTTGATCTATCTTAATCTATCTATAGAACCGTCTTTGCATGGAAGTTGGGAAAGCGTACTGCTTGGGTGGAGTACTTGACCTACCGCCATGGGCACCTGCTTTATTGAACACAACAAATCCTGCAAGACGGATTGTAAAACCACTCAGTCCCGCGGTTTTGAAAGCACAATACGGGCCCAAAGACCAGGCGCCGATTCTAGCGACATATGAGGCCGACTGGTGGAATTCTGTGGGCGCCAGCGGTGAGAATGAGAAAAAGCTATTGAAGGCGCATTCGGATGAGGAGGAAAAAGCTTTTTGTAAGTGGATCGAAGCCATGGGACAGGTATTTACACACTTGATCTGTTGTCCATCGATTTTATTGATACCTTCTACTGTTTAGCCATACTGTGAACCCAACATGGAAGTCGAGGACGATGAGGCTGGCATTCCAGTTCTGCCAGTGCATGCGGCCACAGCAGCAGCAAAGGTTCATGGCGCACAGATGTGGGTCCAACACCTCTTTTTTCGTCACATGGAACAAGACCAGCTCCGAAACGACATAGAGGCCATGAG